CGTCAGTGCCGTTCTTATAAATGAAGGATGAAGGGAAGAAACGCACCCTCGATGAGCTTGCCCACCGCCTCCCTCGCCTCCTCTCTTTCCCTCTCCCTCTCCTTCTCCTTCTCCTCCTTGTCTTTGTCTGCGTCTTTGTCTGCGTCCTCGCGAGCATCGACGTCCATGGACTCGGCACCCCTAGCAGGCCCAAGCGCGTCGAGCCGCCCAGAGAGCGCACCCAGCTTCGCAGACACGATCTGCACATTCGCGTTGAAGCGCGCTTTGTACTTGCGCCTGTGCGCGTGCAGGGTCTTGATCTCGGCCTGGATGTGAGCGTTAGCGATTTATTCATGAAGAGGAAGAAGAAAGAAGGGGAACGAACGTGGAGCGCGGCGACCTCGCTTTGGAGCGTGTTGATGGTGCGTTTGGTCTCTTCCTTCTCTTTCTGGATCTCTTGCTCTTGCTCCTCCCGCGCTTTGGCTTGCGTATCGGAGTCCTGCCCCTCCTCGGACTCGACCTCGCTCTCCTCCATGCTCTCCTCTTCCTCCTCCTCCCCACTTCCCCCCTCCTCCCCCTCCTCGTCCTCCCCGCTCCCCCCTTCCTCCTCCTCACGCACCTCTCCACCCCCAACACTCGCCCACTCCCCGAGACCCGCCCACTGCTCAAAAGCCCCCCCCACCACCCCCCTAATCTGCCGCTCAACAAGCGCGTTTGCGTTTGCGTTCGCCCTCTCGCCCTCCCTCCGCTCCGCATCCCACGGCCTATCACTCCCCACAAGCATATCGTCCACCATCCCAAGCAGCGCGACCCCCCTGCCTGCCCCCTCCCCCCGCTCCCGGGCATTCCTCCAGAGCTCGAGCCGCCGAAGGGCGTCCGGCGCAGAGACACGTTCCTCCTGCGTGATGTTCCACGGCTGCAAGTCCGTAATCGCGCGCAGCGTAGCGTCGCTGGGCCACGTGAACCACCCCGCCTCGCGGTTCCGGGCAGCCTGCGCTTCGGCCTGTGCTTCGACTTCGGCGAATGCGCGCTCGTCTGCGAGACGCGCGGCCTCCTGCTCCTGCTCCTGCTCCTGCGTGATGAGGACATTGGGCGGAGAGGGCTGCTCGACTTCCTGGATGGGGTTGGGGTTGGGGTCGTACGCGCCCTCCTCCGACTCCTCCGACTCATCGTCGTCGTCGTCGTCGTAAGGGACTTTCATGACCATGTACTGCTTCTGCGTCTGGTACTGCCTCTGCGTCTGGTACTGCTTCTGCCTAGTCACCACCCCATCCACATCCACATCCACATCTATCTCCAGATCCACATCCACCTCCAGATCCACGTCCATCTCTACCTCCACCTCCGTGTAGTTCGGGTCGCTGCCGTACCCCCCCTCCTCCCCCTCCCCCTCCTCCTCCTCTTGCATAGTCACCTCCCCGCGCTTCGGAGCTTGACCTCCGACATTGTCACTGTGCGCCGCGGCGTCCTCCCACTCGTCCGGAGCCCGGAACGGCGGCGGGAGCAGGGCGTCGTCCCGCGTCATCAGCGGCGGCAGCGGGAGGGGCAGGGGCTCTTCGGGCCTGTTGTAGCGCATGGGAATGGTGATGGGCACGGGGTCGGGGCACTGCGCGTCGGGGTAGGAGGACATGGGGGGGTGCGAGGGGGTGGGCATTTGGGGTCCTGAGGATGATTCAGGGGGAGAGGGGGCGCGCGAGGGGGGGAAGGCGCCTATCATTGCGCTGGGCGAGGGGCCTTTCTCCTCCGAACCTGAACCGTTGTTGGCCTCGTTGGAGTTGGAATTGCCGTTGCCGTCGTCCGGGCTGTGGTACGAGCCGTCGCCGGGCTCCGCGAGGTCCTGCTGCCCGTCTGGGACCCGCGGCGAGCCCGGGCCCACACTGGGACTCGCGAGGTCCATCGGGCTCTCGCTCCGCCGTGGGCTCCGCGGGCTCTCGCACGAGCGCGGGCTGTACGGCGGGCTCACGTTGGCGATCGAGGGCGTGTATACGGTGATGGGGTGCGACTGGGGCGCGTGCACGGGGGGCAGCAGGCGCTTGAGCGCCTCGAGGGCGCGCGCGAGGGTCGTGGGGGCTTCGACGGAAGTGGGCGGGGTGGGGATCGGTGTGAGGGGGGGCTCGAGGGGCAGGCGGAAGGGGGCGATGCGGGTTTGCAGTGCGGCGTTTGCGTTGGGCACGGGGTTGAAAGGGGGGTAGAGGAGGCGCCTGTGGGTGAAGGGGAGCGGGAGGGCGTTGGGCCCTGAGGCGGGGGGGAGGAGATCGGTGTTGTCGTTGGAGGTGTCGTTGTCGTTGGAGGTGTCGTTGTCGTTGTCGGAATCGGAGGAGCTGGAAGAGGAAGAGGAGGAAGACGAGGGGAGTCCGAAGCGTCCCCCCATTCCTGAGTTGGGCATAGGCACGGGGACGTGGACGGGGACGGGGGTGGGCGTACGGGTTTGGGTCAGATCGATGCTGGCGAGGATCCGGGGCTTCTTGAGGGGGGAAATCGGTGATACGGGGGTGTATGTAGCTGGAGCGTACAAGAGCTCGACGCGGGCGACGACGGGACGCACGGACCCGTGCGTGTTGCGCCCCACGGACTTGCCGAATGTCAAGACGTCCCCTGTGCGTAGGGCCGTGGGTGTCTCGGGTGCGAGCATGCGGGAGGTGATGTCGCTGGGGCGGCGCAGGTGGGTGCCGTGGTGCGAGTTGAGGTCGATTATGTATACCTGCGAGGGTGTGTTAGTACTAAAGGAGAGACAAGGGAAGAGGGACGTACGGGCCCGCTGTCTGAGAATGCGATCTTGGCGTGCTTGCGGCTGACGACGGCGCAGCGGAACATGGCCCCATCGCTGCTTCCATTTATCAAATTATGGATATCGCTGGACGGCCGCCGCCCGATGTGCACGACGCTGCTGTTGGACCTGCGGAATGTGAGGGTGGAGGGCCCATCGTGATCGTCGTCGTCGTCGATGCGGAGGACGATGGCGGTGGGGAGGGATGGATTGGAGATGTGGCGTGTGCCGATGTATTGGATGTCGTCGTCTGTGCTGCTCATTGAAATTGTGTGTTGTGTTGTCAATGAGAGTGTGGAATCAAAGACAACTCTGAGCCTCGCTTCCGGCACGATGTGACTTGACTCTCCTTTATCGCCGGCACGGAGATCCGGCATCCCGCCCGGGAACCGAGCATCCCCCATTCAGCCATACAAGCTGTCTCTCTCTGCAATACTCTTCCAGGCTAGACGAGAATATATAAATCCCATTCATTCCCTTATCATGCCCTCCCCGTTCCCACAATGGACGACCACGACCCCCGCGCCCAGCTCGCAGCCCTCGAATCAGAGATAGCCCGCCTCCACAAGCTCCTAGCCAAGCTCAAAGCCCAGCGCGCCCCCCTCAAGCGCGCCATAAACCGCTCCCGCGCGCCCTTCCTCTCCCTCCCCGTCGAATTGTGCTCCGAGATATTCACCCTCGCCGGGAACCCCATGATCCTGGGCGCAGTGTGCTCCGCGTGGCGCGCGCTCGCGTGGGCGATGCCGTGGTTGTGGGCCACCGTTACTCTCGATACCACGCGGGTGACGGCGACGCACGTCGAGCTGCTCGCGGACTGGGTGCACCGCGCGAATGGGCTCCCGCTGCACGTCGAGCTGGGGATCCGCCGGGAGCCGAGTACGCACGCCCCGGACGCCACGGCGGATCTACTGAGGACCCTCTTCCGCGACTCTGCACACCGCATACGCGCGCTCGCCGTATCCGGCCCGTGCGCTGCCCTCCCGCATATCCCGCACCTCCACCTCCCCATCCTGACACACGCGTCCCTCACGTGCCCGTGCCCCCGTCCCCACCCCCACCCCCTCGCCCTCACCCCCACCTCCGCGCCCCTCCTCCACTCCCTATCCCTGCACAACCTCCCCCTCCCCGCCCCAGTCCCACCGACCCTCACCCACCTAACCCTTGCCCCAACGACCATCGCAGCAGCCCTAGCCGCCCTCTCCGCCCTCCCGAGCCTCACCCACCTCACACTCGGGCCCCTCACGGCGTCCCAGGTCCTCGATCCCGCACCCATAGAAGCGCACGCACTCACGCACCTCGCCATCGCGTCGGACACGCGCACCCAGCCGTCGGAGCTCCTCGACGCGCTCGTGCTCCCCAACCTGGAGGCCCTCGACCTCACCCTCCCGAATACACCGTTCCCCGCACTCAGCGTCGTGCGCCTCGCACCAAGGACCCTGAGGCTCGAGAACGTAAGGGTCGGCGCAACCCTCCTCCAGCAGCTCCGCGCGGCCCTCCCGGGGCTCACGAACCTCCAGCTCGTGCGCGTCCCCGGTTTGGAACGCAAGATGCTGAGGGCCCTGGGTCTGCTCGGACCACTCACGTATGACGGCGAGGAGGTTTAGACCCGCGCGACTGGGGGAGAGCAGCTAGAGTCGGCACGCGCGACAGTGACCTTCCCCACACGGCGCCCAGCGCCGGACGGCACGACGGACGGAGTGCCCCGCTGGACCGAATATCATATATCGCCTCCCCGTTTCCCCTTGCGTCCCACAACCACATGCCCGAGCGCTATGCTAACCCTGCCCTCGTGTGATGGATCCCTGGGCTCTGCCCGGAACTTGTGTTGTGCTGTTACTGGGACTCTTGTTGCACTGCTGTGTTCTCCTTATCTATCGTATTCATTGTATTCATTGTATTTATTCTGGGCCAAGTCGTGTAGATGTGCTTGCTCGGTGTAGACTCCGTGTACTCGCTACGTACCTCTAATCGTAATCCATATTATCCCAGCTAGTTGAGGTGAAAGCAGATGGGGCTACGAATCCCGCCAGCCCACGGAGTGCGCACACGCACACTGTAAGGAACCCAAGGAACCGCACCACCTGCCAGCGTCGGAATCGACCCGGAATTGCGTAGGTAGCGAAGTAGTGGTAGCACATACAGCGACGAGTCACGATAGCCGGCGCACGATTTTACCAATGCCCGTACGTTCGGAGTAGCATGCGCGTCTGGAGCGTACATCTCGCGAAGATACAAAAAACGCTGATAAAGTGGATGGCCAACGTGGGGATCGAACCCAAGACCTTCGCGTAATAACCAGACCTAAAGAGGGAGTGATATTAGCACGACGCTCTAACCAGCTGAGCTAGTCGGCCTGTACCCTTGCTCTTTGGGTGTATCGGTGTGCACGTCGCAGGCGCCGACAAAAAAGCCTCACGTATCGGGATGGCCAACGTGGGGATCGAACCCAAGACCTTCGCGTAATACCAGGCTTAGCCTGAATATTAGCACGACGCTCTAACCAGCTGAGCTAGTCGGCCTGAACAATTGATCATTTGAGTACTACATGCTGTGTCAGTGTGCGCGTCGCAGGCACCGAAAAGAGCCATTAGAGCCCAGGCAGTGGCCAACGTGGGGATCGAACCCAAGACCTGCGCATAATATCACATAACCCCTGATCATGAATATTAGCACGAAGCTCCAACCAGCTGAGGGCTTGTTCCTGGTCTTTTGGGTGCCATATTGCGTATCGGCAGGAGACAAAATAAATGAGTTGCCTTGTGGTGATGGCCAACGTGGGAATCGAACCCAAGACGTTCGCGTTATTAGCACGACGCTCTAACCAGCTGAGCTAGTCGGCCGGTGCTTTTCGTTTCCCTTCGTTTCCCTAACCCCTGTCCCATCCCATCCTATTCCCCCGCCCCTCTCCCATGAAACGAGCGCCACAAAACAGCACAACACGAAACAACCGGACCCTCCCATCCTCCGCGCCCCGACCCTGGACCCCGCCCCAAACAGGCCTACGCCGCACCACGCGCGCCGGTGTTCAGATCGGGTCAATATTAGTATTAATGGGCTCATCCAGGGGCCCCGAGATATTCGGTGGGCCTGGGTCTTTGTTTTCTATTATACGACATATGGGTACGTGTGAGTGCCTGCTGTAGCTATCAAGGTACGAGGCGGGACGCCACCACCATACGATTGTATAATTACGTATAAGTAACTGCCGGTGGAGGCGGGAAGGTTGAGTTTGTGTAGAGGCGTACGTACGAAGATGTAGGTAATGTGCCCGGCGTTTATGTATGATGCATCAGAGACGTGCGTGCGTGAAAAGCGGGGGCCGGTGTCTCGTTCGAGGCAACAGGAACACGCGAACAGGGATTTGCGAGTATCTCAGTGGAGGGAGAGGAAAATCCCGGACATTATGGCGCTTTCGACGCTGACGAGAAGGCACCAGCAACACGTCTAGGAGATGAAGCGCCAGCGACAACGGCGCAGGGCGCAGGCACGATATGATGTATAACATAGGATTGCATTGCGATTACTTTTATATGAAAGAGCGTACAGGTTAGCATACAAATACAGAATTGGTGATTGATGCAACTTCCAGCCGAGTAAAGTCTTAATCCGTCCACAGGAACAGCCACCAGTACCTCGCCTCGTGCGATCCCTACTAAGAGGAACGAAACCCAAGGAAGAAGACATCTGATCTTGCTGGTCGTAGCGCGTAAGGCCGCGCTAGTGGAGCGGCGCCTGCTTTTCGTTGTACCCGCCGGGGGCCAGCGTGGCGGTGGGCGTGTCCGAGTTCCTGCTAATCTGCGTGTTCGGCTCCCCCGCCTTCTCGTACCTCTCGTCCGGGTTGCCATTGGTGAGTGGTTTATTCGCGTCGGCGGCCTTGGTCTGCTGCACAAGGTCGTAGCGCGAGGCGTAGCCGGGCGGCGCCCAGGAACGTGACGTCCAGGGTTTGCAGGTCGGATCGTTGTACATCTAAAATATAAATTGTCAGAAAGATGTGGGGAAGAGAGGAGGAAACGTACAAGGTCGACGGCCTCGAGAGAGAGGTCACTGGACTCATAAAGGAAGAAGTAGACGATAACGGCGCCTACGAGGTTGCATGCTATTGATGGGGCACGTCAATATGGATTTCAACTAGGGGAAAGACGATATGCACATGCAAAGACAAAGCCATAACTGAACCCGATTGCAGAGACGATGAAGGGGGTGAAAAACGCAAGGAGGAAATTGAAAAGCCAATTGGCAGCAGTGGAAAGAGAACCCTGCTTGGCACGCGTGCGCGTCGGGAATGTCTCGCCGATGAGAATCCAAATGCCTCTAAATGTACAAACACAGTCAGCCATATCCTGAAAAAGGACGAAAACGGGCGCACGGAGCCCAGGTCATGGCATATCCGAGAATAAACATGCATGCACTGACAATCATCACTGGTAGTTGAGGGTTAACACTTTCTCTTGGGTATATGCACAAGGGACTCACATGTGCCGATGCCGGGATTGTTTTGCGGAGGCTTGGCAGTCCCGGCTGCAGCAAAGACGAAGAGCCAGCAGGATTGCCATATCCCTCCAAGTATCAGTGGTACCCTGCGCCCGAACTATTCACAGGGTTTCAATTGATAGATTATGGCAAAGGTGGTCATTTAAAAACGTACGCGTTGCATGACATACAAACCACCAAATGTACACACAAAGTTGACGGCTCCAAGTATGATTTGTGTTACGAAAGAGTCTTCAATACCCACAGATACGAAGATCGTTGCACCGTAGTAGAAGAAATAGTTTGCGCCAGTCAGTTGTTGGAAACTCTGCAGCGTCATTCCTATGGGTGCCGTTGTCATTGTACAGCGAAGAGACATAAGGAGTTGTGGTGCCCACCAAGAAGGGTACGATAAAGAATCTTGTTGCCGGGACGGAAGCAGTCCAACCACCCTGCACGGATTTGTTTCTCATAATCGACGTTGCTGCGGATTTCGTCGACCTTGGAGTTGAGGAAAGGATCAGTCTCCACTTTATCGCGGGGTATGCCATGCGAGCGTGCAAGAGAAAGTCGGGCTTCATCGATGCGTCCGCGAGAGGCTAGCCAACTAAATGGTGTTCAGAAAACATTCGAAGATGGCTTTTGGAAGAAACCGACCGTGGGGATTCTGGCATAAAAATGATGCCGACCATGAGGATGACGGGCCAGATGAGGCCGATACCAACTACAGTGCGCCATGAACCTGCACCAGACATGTTTCGTGTGCCGATAGAGATGCAATCTGAAATAAAAAGTTGCAATAGATGGACGATTGAGAATAGGTGTACGTACACGCGACAAGGATGCCAAAGGTGATGAAAAGCTGATAGGTGGCAGTGAGTGTACCACGAATTCCAGCAGGTGCAGTTTCTGCTTGATACTAAAAACACCGTACGTCAGACACTAGTCAAAAGTGTAGGTCAGAACACAAACCATCGGCACGGCAGCAGACAGTGCGCCAACGCCAAGACCACTGACCCAGCGACCGACTGCAAACTGCTGCCAGACATCCACAGCGGTGATCTGAATGATTACTCCAACCATAAATATAACACACTCAGTGACCATGGCATATCTTCTGCCTAGATAGTCCGCAATGCTGTCAAAACCATCGATCAGAAGACCATCAAGTAGGAAGGCACAAAATCGACGTACGGGGCACCGCAGAGTGCGCCAATGAGGGTACCAATGGAAAGGAGGGAAACGATGAGACCTGCACGGACGGTGGAGAAGGCGCAAGTCGATACAACACCGGGGGAGCTGCAGGTTGCGAAACGGAGAAGAAAGTCGTCCATGAGAAGGATGTTACTGATCTGACCAGTGTCGTAGCCAAAGATGAAGCCTCCCATCGAGGCGACGAGGGCGAGGAGGATAGCGACGTAGCCGATGGGCACGCCATGCCTGAAAAGGAGTGAGGGGGCAGAACACCAGATACAGCGAAGACGAACATGTAAAAAACCGCCATGCTGGAAGGGTTGGAGAGCGAGTAGATGTCTCACAAATTCAAAGGAATCGCTTTTCTATGGAGCCCCCAAGGGTGATGTCATCATCCTCGATCTTCCCGCATTCCTCCTATTCATGCGGGTGCCGCCATATAGATGTCGGGGGTGTGGTATTTGACATAGTAATATGCTCACAGCCATTCGCCAGAAAGTTGCCCGACTTCAGTGGGCCCCCATTTACAAGTTCAAGTTGTGCTGATTCAAATTTTTGAGTACTTCCAAGTTGAACTGTTTGATTTGTTTGGCATCGTCCTGTAAAGCTCACACATTGTATCATCCGGTGTTCGGTCCTGATTCGGTCACAGTGCGCAATCAGTCAACAATCAGTACTTTTCATTCCACTTCGCCCAACATGGCAAACACCCAGAATGCCGATATCTCGTCCAAAATGGACGATCTCTACCATTTTGACACTCTCATCAATGTCGCACCTCAAAAGGACACCACAAACAGTGTCAGACTCAGCCCTGCGATCCTCGAGTACATTGAAGCGAATATAGACGAAGCATGTCTCTTTCCTGGAACCTGCGCCACAATGCCCAGACTGACGCGAACCGACAGCACCCCGACGCGCTCCTGCAACGCCCGGCAGTGAGGCCGCCGCGTGTAGACGATACATTGCCTTTGACCAAGTATTTTGTCTCGTATGTTTCATCTTTTGCCTGACACGCGTCTCACTACCACTGAGACAAGTATAGATCCTCGCATAACACCTATCTACTGTCGCGCCAGCTCATCGGTAGCTCCTCTGCCGCCTGCTATACACATGTACTCAATCGCAACGGACGTTGTGTTGGTACGTAGCACTCAAATCTCTGACCTTGGTTACCAACATTGTCCACAGAAATCGACGTCTGGCCTTCGTCCAAGGGCCTAATAGTCAACCATGGACATACTTTCAGCAAAGGGGTTGCATTCTCCGATGTATGCACTGCAATCGGTGATTCTATCCGCCCAGATCATTGGCCTGTTCTTGTCTCCCTCGAATGTCATGTCGATGCCGAGGGTCAGATCGAACTCGTGCGCATGATGCGCGAGACCTGGGGAAACAAGCTTGTTGACGGGCCCATTGAGGGGGTCGAGGGTCGCTTAGTTACCCCTAGAGATCTTATGGGGCGAATCCTTCTCATGGTCTGCAGGTTCACGCTCGACCCTACTAGTTGACCTGACATGTGCTCTAGGTGGAGTATTACCCAGCCACCGCGGCTGGCACTGGGGAAGGCAATGCAGATGCAGACGACGGCTCGTCGTCGTCGTCTTCGGGGGAAGAAGATGAAGCTGAAGAATCATCCATCTGGCCAGGAGGACGCAAGAAGAAAAAAGACGTGACTCGCATTTCTGACGAACTTGCTCAGCTAGGGTACTATGCCCGCAGCATGAAGCCCCTTTCAGGTTGGCTAGAGAAAGGTGTGTGACCTCATACCTTGTTCATTCTTCCCTGAGACTATGACTATGTACCAGAGGTCGACGACCCCAAGCATATCCTTATCAACATCTCCGAATCGACGGTCTCGTCTCTCCTCCCGCACTCTCTGATCGCACTCCTCGACCATGCAGAACGCCACCTCCGCCGTATCTACCCGCGCGGGACGCGCATCGGCTCGTCGAACCTCGCACCAATGCAGTTCTGGCGATCTGGAGCGCAAGTCGTCTCCCTTAATTGGCAGAATTTCGATCGCGGCATGCAGGTGAACGAGGGCATGTTTGTGGGCAGCCCGGGCTGGGTCACCAGGCCCAGCGCGCGACAGGATTCCAAGGGTGCAGTGGCAAAGAAAAGGATGTTTGAAGGCAGAATTGTGGGGATCAGTGGGTGTGAGTGCATGTTTATG